GCCTCCCGGCAGCCGCCTCCCGGCAACCGCCTCCCGGCAACCGGCCCGCCCCGGCCCCGCTTCCCCGCCGCGGCACTACAAGCCCCAGCGCGCACTGCGGCCCCGCTCCCGCTCCTCCCTCCTCGGGGCGGGCCGCGGGGGACACGGGCGGGGCGCTGTCTTCTCTTGGGCCGAAAATTTAGGGAAAAAAACCCCTCTTGATTTGGTCTAGGAAAGGTCGCGAGCTCCATCTACAAACCCCTTCACGCAGCCGAGCCCCGCGGGACAAATCTGTCGGTTTGGGGCGAGCTCCCAGGCAAACGTAGCTCCAATTTTCAGAGGTACGAGGTGGGACTGGGGGCCGCCCTGGTCCTCTTGATTTCCAGCGACTTCCACCCGCAGGTCTCCAAGACAAGTTCCCCTGTTAGCACGAGTGAAGCCTGTTCTGCTCTATCACGTTAAATATCATATGGCTGTGCAGTCCTTCTATAGTCAGGACCACAAATGTGCCGCCAGCAGGTATTGGTTTCATTGAATGCGCTGTGACGAGAAAGATAAACATGAGAACTTGTTAATGCGCTCTCTGGACACAGCATCATGGTGTCACCGCAGACATCCTATCCCTCCCACCGGGGCGGCAGGCAGCTGCTGGTCCAGCTGGCCGAAGGAGCAGGTAATACTCACCAACAAGGCAGGTCAGGCGGAAAACACATGCTTGTTTGCCAGCACTTGGCCCAGGCAAATTAATTTAAATTTATGGAAACATCTAGTTCCCGGTGAGCATTTAGAGATGTTAAAGCTGTCGTTCTTGTTTCAAAAAACGACTCCTTCACCTGCTAAATCTCTTCAATATGTTAAACATTATTGAGGGTTTTTTTTAAATCTACACCTTTAATCTTAGCAAATGCTCTTGTTTATCAAAAGATTTTTAAATATGTAAGACATATAATTAGCCATTCCGTATTTGTGTCTGCATACATATGTCTGATTTTTCTTTAGGTACATCTGGCAGATGCACAAAACCATAGACAGAAAAGGATATTTGAGATGCTCAGAACCAGCTAGGACAATATGTGAAAAATATTTACCTCAGCTATTAAAAGAAAAAATTAAACTGGGCTTAGAAGATTGCCTGCTGCCTGTTCCACCTCTGGCTGGCAAGAGAGCCTCCCTGCAAAGTCAGTTTCTTCCCATCCTTCCCACTGAGAACACAGACACACACACACAAAATAAAAATCCTCATTTTTGTTAATACAAACCGCTGTTTCCTCTGCTTTGCTGTTCTATCTCCAGACTGAACAAGCCCAGTTTCTTCAGCCTTCTCCCATTTCCCTGTCTCGTTGCTCTTTCCTGTGGATTCTTTCCCGTTGTTTACACTTCTGTCACGCACAGCGGTAAAAGCGAACTTCCCGCTCCAGCAGGAGCCTCTCCTCACGCGGGCGGGAGCCGCGGTCCCTCGGGTGACCCCCGGGACCCCCGCGCCCCTCACAGCACCGGGGCCGCCTACTCCGGGGCTGGGTTTGTGAGGAGGCACGAGCCGATAGTTACCCACCTCACACAGAGCGTTAGCTACATAACGTATACGGCAGGTAACATTGTACAGAGAAACACGATCATTAACTGGAAAATAACTAATATTTCGAATTAGGTGGCATAGCTGGATAGAACCCCCGACGCTCTCCAGACACACGCGACAGTCTGGGCAGCGGTACCTTTCCTTCAATTAACACCATTTATTTTTGTCCGCGCCGGTTTTTATCGGGAATAATCCGTATTTTCTCGCAGGGCTCCTCCGACCTTTACCCGAGGGGGTTTCTCAGCCCCAGGCCCTGCCGGCCTCGGCCTCGGCCCCGCGCTGCCTCCACCCCGCCCCTCGGCGCCTGCCGGCGGGCGGTGCCAGGCGGGGATTGGCTGGCGGTAACAGCCGCCGCGCGCTGGTTAGTTGAGGGCGGGCGAGCGGCGGGCGCCGATTGGTTGCTGGCGGGCTGAGGGCTGGCTGGCCCTGGGCGCCGATTGGTTGCTGGCGGGCTGAGGGCTGGCTG